GCGAGTGCCCTCCTGGACTAATGCGGAGATCACGGACCTCACAGAGGTTTGCGGGGAGGCCCCCAATGTCCATGATCTCTGCACTGGATGGAGGAATACCTGCCAGCCACCAAAGGCCACATGCGAACCCAGGAGCAGGTTTGCATGACAATCAAGTTGGCCCAGCGAGACCCCCAACCCTGAGCTTTGAGCTTCCCCTCCCCCTTCTTTCCCTTGCTTCTCCCTTCTAGCTCCCTCCTTCCAGGTTTCCCCCTCCCCTCTCCCATCCTCTCTTCTCCCCTCTCCTGCCTCCTTTCCCCAGTCTCTCCAGAGTTTCATTCCCTACCCCCCAGTTTTGTTAAATAAAGAGAGTTTGTGTTCCTGAAAATACTTGTATTTTATTTGACATCAGGAAAGGGTATTAGGGAGGAGTAAGTGGAAGGACGTGAGGGAGAAATGAGGCACAAGCCCCCAGTGGGGCAGACCAGGGAGGCTCTTAGTGCTCCTTAGGGTGGAAGCTCTCCTGCAGGGTCTCCTGGATACTGACAGCCCCCCAATGGACCTCCCTGATGGCAGCCTGTAGAAAGTGCAGCCATGCTTGCAGCAACGCGTCCAGGAGAAACACCAGAGTGCCCAGGGGCAGCTCTGGCTCCATGTTGCCGAGTGCTGTGGTGTTCCGAGTGAGGGCAATCAGAGCACACAGAGACAAAATGCTTTGCTGTCCCTCATCAAAGTAGACAAGCAAGCAAGGAAACCTGAGAACTGGCTGCCCGGGGCGGGGGAGGATCCCTTTAAGCATAGCCCTCAGATAGGCTCAGGCAGCAGCCCCACACAGTAAGTCCTTATCTGGTGCCCTGCTGGAACTGGTTCCGGCCAGCCTTAAATGCAATTCAGAGTCCACTCGGTGTGGACGCGCTATTTCGAAATAGCAAACTGATAGATATTTCGAAATAACACTGTAGTGTAGACATACCCTTACTTTGAGTGGGAAATAATGGTGCTTCACACCTTTTGGAGGAAGCAGACAATCTTGTATGCTTAGGCTTATAAGCGTTTGAGGAAACTTTGCCTATTTCAACTTATTTGAGTCCTTTTTTTAATAAACCTGAATATTTTGCATCACAAGGGCCCTAATTTTCACCTGCTTTATGTACCCTCCCCCATGAGAGCCAGCTTTGTGACTGCTTCTGGTGAGGGAGAACAGGACAGGGCTGCCTTCAGAATAAGAGCTCTCAGATTTTACGAGAGAACTGGAAGGGCAATTTGTCAGGAGCTAGAAGGCTGCACCCAATTTGCATAACTTTCTGCAGCTTCAAATAGTCTGTAAAATTGACTGTATTTTATTTATAGTAGCGAGTTCATCATAGCTCAATTGTGAAACAGTGCCAGAGTGTAGTATTTTGAACCTGCCACTGAGAAGTGTGCCAGTTTGTATACGCTAGTTTTGAATGGGGAGAAACACCTATGGATTTGCCAGTGCTGTGTATGTGAAAGATATACAGGCAGTCCCCGGGTTACGTACAAGATAGGGACTGTAGGTTTGTTCTTAAGTTGAATTTGTATGTAAGTCGGACCTGGTACATATTGTAGGGGAAACACTAGCCAAACATTGCTCCAGAGCTCAGTTTTATTCTCCCACACCTCACTTCCCTCAGTTTTTTATTCTCAAGCTGAGCTGTCTGCTGAGAAAAGCCGCTCCGCGTCTCCCTGGTCTGCTGGGGAGGGGGCGGGGGGGCACGCTAGCTTCGAGTCTCCCTGGTCTGCTGGGGGGAAGCAGCTAGTGTGGGGTTGCCTCACCTCGTTTGTAAGTAGGGATCCGATGTAAGTCGGATCCATGTAACCCGGGGACTGCCTGTAAAACCTCCTTTTCCCACAGGGGGATGGGATAGGCCTATGGGGGGGAGGGGGAGCTGAAGAGCAACAGGTGTTCTTGGCATTGAAGATCTGGCATGAGAGGCGTAGGTTTCTGACAACCAGAACTATCTGTATGTCCCATGTCCTCTGGGTTGCTCCCTTTTCCTCTGCTGGAGCATCCCTATCCTTTGGCTGAGTGACCTGGCATTTTGGAAATGAATTGTGTTGCAAACAGTCACTCAGGGCGAGACGGCACTTTTCCAAAGGTGCTGCTGTGCAGGACGGTCAGAAGTAGCCGTACAACATTGCCAAAATCCATTCAATTTCTAAGGTGTCCAGTAGATACACCATCCCTTTTCCACGCTGTGAGCAATATGACTAACTTGGCAATAGCCAGAAGCAAGCATGTATATCAGGACTTAGAAAACAGATTTATAGCACAAAAGTAGGCCGACAACTTTGATCTTTCAAAGAGTTTATTGGCTAGGATTTGCCTCCATTCTATGATAGGGATTAAAAATACACTCCCCCTGAAACTCTGGTATGCTATGATATCGAAGACAGGATACTGGGCAAGATGGTCCATGGTCAGAGCAAGTATGGCAGCTCTTATATTGTTTTAATTGGCCACAAACAATAAATCCCATAAAAATGAGGAGTCCTGTGGCACCTTAAAGATGAAAGGGATTTATTTGGGCATAAACTTTCATGGGTAAAAGCCATTTTGTCAGATGCGTGGAGTGGAAATCACAGATGTAGGGAGATAATACATATCTGCAAGTTTCATGTGGCTAAATTCAGTGCCCCTTGCATGTTGACAGATGGTTTTTACCCACTTAACCTTATGCCCTTTTGTCTTTAAGGTGCCACTGGACTCCTCGTTGTTTTTGCAGATGCAGTCTAACACGACTACCCCCCTGAAATAAATCCCATGAAAGAAAATTCAGTCTCTTCTACAGATTGGATCTCCCTGGTCGAGCATTCTCAGGATCCGAGTGGTCCCAAACAGGAGAGTTTGCTGGACCAGAGGAGGTCAGGCCTCAGGCTCTCCCGGGGCTCCCTTCTTGTCCGCCAGCCAGGCCAGTTCGCTGCCCCCAGTGGGGCTCCAATCCAGGCTGCTGGCCCTGCTCCTGGACAGTGGCGCTCCCTTCTGCCAGACCATCTGAGCTCCTAGCTGCTGGCAATCTCTGTAGCTGGGGTTCTCTGGTTCAGCAACATCTGGGATCCTGCTAGACCGCAGATGTTGCTGGACCAGAGAGGTTCAACCTGTAGTTTGAGTCAGGTGACAGGAGTAAAACCTAAGTTGAATCTTCACACTTATTCTAAATGTTTGCAGATTGTTTTAATGTATTGTCTTGAGCAACTCTTGTTCCAGAAGCATCTTTTAAAACCTTCTTGTTTTTATCTCCATGGAGACTTGTTCATCACAAAAGCTTAGCCAGTGGTTTCTTAACATGCGAACAAGCTCATTATTTTTAGTGATTTACTTTTAAAATACATTCTGCTTTCAGTATAAAGGAGCAAAAATGTTTGCAGATTGTTTTAATGTATTGTCTTGAGCAACTCTTGTTCCAGAAGCATCTTTTAAAACCTTCTTGTTTTTATCTCCATGGAGACTTGTTCATCACAAAAGCTTAGCCAGTGGTTTCTTAACATGCGAACAAGCTCATTATTTTTAGTGATTTACTTTTAAAATACATTCTGCTTTCAGTATAAAGGAGCAAGTTTTT